TATATATATATGTATATATATATACACACAAAATTTCTCCACAGCAATGTCACAGGCTCACTGCCAAATGTTTGATTCCGCCCTTACTGCCAAGTAACTATTAGCTCTGAAACATTTAAGTGTCACAAATATCAGTAAAAGAAGGTAAAACATTGAAAATGGAATGCAAATCCTTTTTTTTCACTGTACTGTACGTATAATTTGGCCACTAATTCAAATTCAATTCATAAAAGTCTTCATAAAAGTGGCTGTAGCGGTAGAGCTGGTCATCTACTGATTGGAAGGTTCGTTGTTCGATTCTTGGCTTCCCCCACAAGTCTGCATGCCAAATATCCTTGAGCAAGATGCTAACCCCATGTTGTTGCTCTCCGATGCATCCATCGAGTGTGACTGTGTATGAATGCTAGATAGGCTAACAGCTTGGAAAAAGTGATTGGGTGAATGAATTAGTTGTATAAAGCACTTTGAGTGCTCAATTAGACTAGAAAAGCATTATATAAGAACCAGTCCGTTTACGTTAATGCACAATTTTAGAATTCATAAAAGGGAGGCTTTTGGAAACTGTTTGGTTTCAGCGCTTACATCAAATAATCAAATCATCCATGCCTAACTGTGTAATGTCATCCTCCTTTTGTTGATATGATGGCAATGGATAATACTCCTTAAAATCTGCTCACCTAATGCTGTATTTGTAGTTCACTCTACGATATATTGACTATATATGTGTGTGTGTGGGTGTTGATGTGTGTGAAGTTGGAAATAGAGATAAAGGAAAGTAGATATGTTCGTTTTCTTATGTCAAATATAACATTTGTATGTTCGTTTTCACATTACACATGTTTTAATGGTTGCCAGAGGGCTTTAACTTTTAATTTTTAAATTTTTAAATTTTATTTCCTGTCTGGCTTTATCATTTTACAGTATTAACTGAAGGTGGACGGCCTCCACAACATAATTCTTGGTTATAAGAACTAATAATCTGGTTTCAAATGGTGCTACAAAAGTGTGAATTTGAGCTTTCATAATGAGACTTTATAAATCATTGGTTGATCTCACGGTGGTCATGTCCATTTTTTTATACTGTGCTCATGAGCAATAGATGTTATTGGTAGAAAAAAGTCTGTTCTGTAGGTGCCACGTTATTATAGAGCAGCCATGTTTTTTCTGGTGAACTGTGTTTTGACACCAGCTGCTGAGGTTATTGAGGTTTGCAGGTAAATTCCAAAGTTACAATGTGGTATTGCAGGTGACCTTTGACAAACAAGTTACTTCTAGAAAAATGAGGCAATCTTGATCTGATTAAAAACCTTTTACTGCTGTTTGCTGACGACTGTTAAGACAAAAGCTGCAAGAATTCATGTTGCTGTTCTGTTTGTTTTTTCTTCACAGCAGCTCAGAATGCTGCAAAGAGAATGAGCACGGATCATGTCATCATGGAAATGGTTGTTTAACCAAACAAGCTGATGAACATGTACCACGAGGTGTCCTGAACGTGGGTATTCATTTTTCACCAGCTTTCAGTTGACATTTTCCAGCATTTATCTGTGCAGGGCCAAAGGGGACCGTAGTGTCATTCAAAAAAAAAAAAAAAGAGCTGAGGCCTGTGCAAGTGGTCTGTTTGTAACACTTCTACAAACTGAGTCTTCTAATAACTAATGTTATTGTCTTGCTGTATTCTGCCACAGTATTTCATGTTTTGCATTGTTATTGTGTGTGTGCAAGCCCATCACCATGTTGTTTACTTTGTTTATCAGGAAAACAGTAGTTACTATCTGAATATCAGGATAATGTTTTAATACGACTTCATGTTCACTAACACTCGAATATAAACCTTGGTTTTTATCTCAAAGGGTTTTTCCTGTCCTGATGCCACTGCGAGTGCCTGCTGCGCAATCTTTCTTCATATCTTACCACTTATAGCCCTTTCAACAGTATCTCAGGTCGACCTGATGTGGCTCTAATCGACTTTAATCATTTTCCATTAAAAGGACCACTTAATGTGCGTGAGGTCATCATAGCAATGTGGACAAAAGACCCATGACATCATTTGTATGTGACGCCAACACCACGACAGGTTGAGGCGATGGTTCACCTGCTTCGATGTATGACACCCGGTCATTGGGGACTATTGATGAGTTAGGCTCAGAGAGAAAGGTTTGAATTCAGTTAACATCCACTCATTTGAATGGAATTTTTATCTGTTTGGAAAACCAAAATTGAATAACCAGAGTGCAAAACGATGCATACTTAATTTACTTTTTTAGCATCTAGCTCAAACAAACCGTGGGTTAATAACCCTAGATGGGTCACCAGAGACCTGTTGAATGTTAGGAGTTTAAAAACAGAAAGAGCATTTGTGTGTTTAGAGGAGACAAAGATGTGTCTTAGTTTTTATTCCTGTAATGAGATTTTTTTAATCAAATTTTTGTTTTTGGTTTATTTTAAAACAGTGGTAAGGTTTTGAATTAATATTTGATATGTTAGGTTCTTGTCAATAGTTTTTCACCTATTATGATCTTTTTGTACAAATTTAACCGATTTTTAAAAAAATTGTTTTAGTTGAATTCTTAATTTCATAGCAAGAATAAATATATTTGAAAAATAAATACTTCATGTCTGGACATGAAGAGATGCCTCTGATTCATTCTTGTGTTGTTGATTCATTCTTGTGTTGTTGGTTCGTCCAGAGTGGTTCTTTTGTTTTTTCTCACTATTAAGGTTTTCATGACCAGTTTCTCCGATCACATTATCAACCCTGCCGAGTGACTTTTCTTAAAATCACAGAAATCTTAGGACTGAATAAATGTTAGTAAGCTTTCCCGGGTTCTGTGTTTTGTTGCTCAACAAAGGCTGTTCACTTTGCTCAGTTCCTTCCTGTTGTGGTGTGGGAGGGGACAGTGGGAGAGCAGAAATATGAAGAGACACATAAGAGCAAAACTGGCCAGTTCTTTTATTGGCCACAGGTGGCTTTAGTCAAGTTTCCACTCAGTCATAAATCAGTAATAAGCAGTGAAGGTGTAAAGCATGCTGTGACATTTCTGTTGACATGGAGCCCATAGTAAAAGTCCCAGACATGGCTGCTATCTGCTATTTTTGACGTGTGACGCTTTTGACCTTTTGTGACAATTTTCCTCTGTTTTCATGAGAGCAAGAACGTTTGTTGAAAAATATCAAACTGTTACATTACAGAGGATGTGAAATGCATAATCGCTGTGTGTGAAAAGGAAGTGTAGGGGCCTTCAGTGCTCGGCGAAGTGTTTGTGGTTTTATTTTCATCAGCTTTTGTACGGCTGTCTCTTGTTGTTTTTGTCCACACTTTCATCTCCGTTCAGCATGGGCTCAAAACTTTACTCAAAATTAATAATATTTCTTTAAATTGCAAACAGAGAAATGCAATGATTATTGCTCCATCAGCTCTTTCAGCCAATATGGGTCAGCTGTGGTTAAATTAAGTGTATTCAATCTAGGGGAGTGTAATTTCTGAGAAGACACAGGACACTGTGCCAGTTTAAAAACCCACAACACAAACAGCTCAGCAGTTATACTGAAAGCATGTGCAGTTTAAAATGGCAAAAACGATTTAAAAAATGGAACAAAAAAACAAAAAAATGCAAACGAGTATAAAAGCTTGTTTTGACAGGTAAACTTGTTTGATCTATATTTAGTTTTCTGCTGTGTGGCTGGAAAATCTTGTGGTCTGGTTTCTGAGTAAAGCTGCTCTCTGTTGTGTTCGGTGGTGGGAACAATAGGACCTATCTCAAACACTGAACCAGAGGTTTCTGACCCTGAATAAGTACTGATGTCACTATCATGGAGTGCACTGCTGTGTAAATCATAGTGAATCTTTACAAAATCTTCACATTACAAATTATTTAAATATTCTCCAACATTTTGTACATAAGAAGGGAAAAAAGGAGGGGGAATTGACGATGAATGAAGTAAAGACAGAAAAATAGAGGTAATTTAGTTCTTTTCTTTTTTGTTATTTTATATAACAATATATCTTGGTCAACACAATCACAGCTGCATTGTGCCGAATACAAATGTAAACCACGGGCAAGTCTGTCTGACTGAAACCACTTCCTGTGGAAAAATTTGGCCAGATTTGCAAAAACGCTAATATGAAACACTCTTAGGTTTCTGTTGTGTGATACACTTTTAATCTACATTCTCATATTCTTATAAAAGACTCACTAAATCGCACTCATTCTCAGAACAAATCAAATGTCAAACTTGCTCCAGCAAAGAATGTGAATTACAGCTTGGCCAGAGGTAACCAATAGAATTAGCACCATCTGCTGGTTTTCTCTTAATACAAGCAATCCAAATGGTTTAATCGTACAGACATTTAATGTTAAACATAGAAATGAATAAAATACACACACACACACACTGGCACAGTGGGGTTTGGGTTACCACCTATAAGCAAAGTCTATCTATCTATCTATCTAGAGATGTATTGGAACGTAACTGGATGCAGTGGCAAAAAGCACACTGCCAATGGATTCTAGAGCTGTTTCCATTTTAAGTTTCCAACCTTGTCAGAACAGTTTGGGTATGGCCCCTTCCTGTTCCAACATGACTGTGCACCAGAGCACAAACCAAGCTCCATAAATACATGGATAAGTCCTGACATCAGCCTCTTAGAAAACACCTTTGGGATGAATTAGAATAAAGTGAACCAGGCCTTCTTATCCAACATCTATTTTTTATCTCACAGATCCACTTCTGGAATAATGATCAAAAACTCTTACATTGCTAAACTTTGTGAAAGCCTTCCCAGAAGAGTTGAAGCCCTATGACTAAAGAATGAGATGTCACTGTAGTTTGTATGCATGTGAAGGCAGATGAGCAAACCCCTATAGTTTGTATGCACTCAAAAAAAAATCTAAAGTGACAAACATTCAAAAACTATTTACATTTTAAGAGAAAGATAATGGCTGTTTTGTGTTTGTCTAAATGATGAGATTCTGGTCATATTAGGTTTATTGTTATCACCGGCACTGATTTCCACCTCACAGGGTTAAAAGATGTGTTTGTCAGCCCTAACAGCCCTGACTTTCCTTCACCATCCAGATCACAAAACATAAACAATAAAGCAACAGAACTAAAGTGCTTTTAATGCTCAGCTGTAGCAGAAAGGTGCATTATAACAACTTTTCTTTTTTCTTTTCAGGCTTCAAACCTCAGTGCCTTACTTCCAACCATTTTCTCTGTACATATTAAACCTGCCTCATTTGTATGTTTACATTTAAGTCTGTAAGATGTTAAAGGATGAAATACACACATCTAAAAGCTGCTCTCTGTAGCTTTTATTTACAACTCTGTACATGTATGTCATGCCATCATTCCACCACCAGATAGAGCCAAAGACTAATATCAGCACACTGGAGATTGACACGATGGTGCGATTCTTCATCAGTAAACAATATGCATCTATATCATATAGTATATACATAAGTAGAAATGTGATTATTTACTCAGAAAAAAAAATGTGCAGTAACAACGTTTGTGATATCCTTTTCCCAAGTTCTCTAGATTTTATAGCGAGTTTTGTTTTTCCTTAATCTCTTTCTTCTTCCATTAGACTACTTTATCTGTAAAAATAAAGAAAAAATACTGTTGAACGACTGACTTTACACTGTTGTTTTTAAGCCAAAATAAAAGTTAAAGTTAAGAAACAGGAGAACTTTTGACTCACAGAACGCGTGTGGACTTCCTCTCACCACCCAGACCACAATGCCAACAATCGCTGCAACACCTACAGCCCCACACACAGCACCAGCAATTTTGCCAGCACGACTGCTGTCATCACCTGCATGTATGCAAGGCAGACGGAGAATAGCTGAAGTAATCAAGTACATTGTATTCATTCATTTTATACCCTGGCTGCACATTTTCAACCCATTAAAAGTAATCATAGTTACCTGATGCTTTGGACACATCTGCCACCATAGTTGACATGCTCAGTGTTTCTGTTTCGGTTACTGTTAAAGACAAACATATCGACATGGTGGGAAAATGGCCACATTCAGATTCGTTCCAGTCCTGCACCACCACCAAGGAGAAAAACATGCATTATTTTGCAGCTACAACTAGTGATGGCTGAATGGCTCTGTCTTGTTGAGCACAACAAACATCTTTGTTTTGATCACTCCTAGTAGAATTACACAAAAAAAATGCATTTGATAACTGAACGCCACTAATGGTACTAACAGGTTACAATAACCAGACGTCAGTGATGCAGGACTTTAACACAATATTAATGCTCTCTGTGTTTGACGCACCAGTAGTCGTGCTCGCTGGAGTAGTTGAAGGCAGAACGGTTGTTGGCATAGATGTTGTGATGACTGGTTCTGAAAACATGATAATAAACATGTAAAAATAATTGATCGTGAAAAGCAATGGAGGGAAAAACATAATGTGAGTGTGCTCACCTGTGCGATAGCTCACAATCACACATCGTAGCTCAGACTGATATTTGGCTGCACTGATGAACAATTGAAATAGTACAAAAACATAAATTTAAAATATTCCAGTCCTCGTGTATTTACTGTATGATGTGCTTTTCACTTATTATTATTAATGGATCCAAATCCCACACTGACCTATTCTGTGCCTGGACTAAGAAGCAGACGGGATGATCTTCTCCATCTTGATTCTCAGATGGCGTCCAAGTCAGGATAAATTCTCCATGTGATTCATTGTGTTTTACAACATTGTGCGGTCCACTGAACAAAAGCTTTAAAACCCTTAAAAACACACACAAAGGAGAGATTGATGCTGAAAAGTATCAGATATAGAAATAAAAAGACAAAGATAAA